CATCTGCCAGCGCTCTCGGCCACGCCCACTTCTCTGCTGCAGAGCAGTGATCATTACTCCCACCAGGAGGAAGCTTCTCCTGCACTGTGGGCTGCACACAGGTGCAGCAGATGCTAAATCATTGAATATATTTCAAATAAAAATGTCATGCCAATCATGCGGCTCATCCATCAATCAGCCAATTGTGTGTCACGTCCAATCTTACTTTGAAAAGCAGCGATAGAGCAAGTCCGCGAAAATCGAACCGTGATGTAGTGAGGGACTACTGTAATCAGACTTTTGTGGTTGCTGCTCCAAATCTGTAGAATAGTTCACCTTGTCATGCACGGACGGCTGACACTTTAAAACGTATGCTTAGGACCTTTTTTCCATTGGCTTTTGATTCAGGTAGAATTTAGAGCAGAGTTTAGTTTCACTATTTTATTTTTTTTAGCTTGCCTTTTTCTATTTACTTATATTTACTCTATTATATATATTTACTTATAAGCTACTGGCCCAGATGGAGTACCTGGCAGGGTGCTCAAAGCATGTGCCCTCCAGCTCGCCCCCACCTTCACCAGAATTTTCAATCTCTCCCTGGCCCAGGCTGTCATCCCTCCCTGCTTAAAATCTGCAACCACCATCCCAGTGCCGAAAACGCCTACCATCACCAGCCTGAATGATTACCGACCAGTGGCTCTCACCCCAGTAATCATGAAGTGCTTCGAGAGACTGGTTCTCCAGCACATCAAGGACTATCTCCCTCCGAACTTTGACCCCTACCAGTTTGCATATTGCACCAACAGGTCCACAGAGGATGCTATTGCAGTAGCTCTCCACACCGCGCTGAGCCACCTGGAACAACAGCACAGCTACGTTCGAATGCTCTTTGTGGATTACAGCTCGGCCTTTAACACAATCATTCCGGACATTCTTATAAATACATTGGACAATCTCGGCCTCCCCCCACTCACATGTGCCTGGATAAAAGACTTCCTAACCAATCGGCCCCAATCTGTAAGACTTGGTCCCCACCTCTCCTCCACTCGTACGCTGAGCACTGGCTCCCCACAGGGCTGTGTGCTGAGCCCCCTGCTGTACTGTCTCTACACCCATGACTGCAGCCCGGCCCACAACAACAACCTCATCGTCAAGTTCGCTGATGACACCACAGTGGTCGGACTAATCTCTAAGGGAGATGAGACATTTTACAGACAGGAGGTCCTGGAGCTAGCAACCTGGTGCTCAGAGAAGAATCTGGCTCTGAATATCAAAAAAACCAAGGAGGTGATTATTGATTTCAGGAAGCACAGCACCAACCTAGCCCCCCTTTACATCAACGGCGAGTGCGTGGAGAGGGTTCACACTTTCAGATTTCTTGGTGTCCATATCTCTGCTGACCTAAACTGGAAAGAGAACACCACAGCGGTCATCAAGAAGGCTCAGCAGAGACTACACTTCTTAAGAGTCCTTAAGAAGCCCAACTTGAACACAAAACTGCTGCTGACCTTCTACCACTCGTCCATCGAGAGCCTGCTGACATACTGTATCTCAGTATGGTACGGCAGCTGCACCCTGGCTGACAGGGAGAGGCTTCAGAGAGTAGTCAAGACAGCACAAAAGATAACTGTCTGCCCTCTCCCCTCCCTGATGGACATTTACACATCACGCTGCCTCAACAGAGCAGAAAACATAATCAAGGACTGTTCTCACCCGGGTGTTGAACTGTTTGACTTGTTACCTTCAGGGAAACGCTACAGGTGCATCAGAACAAGAACAAACAGATTCAAGAACAGTTTTTTCCTGAAAGCCATCACCACCCTGAACTCACACATGCACTGATTTAATCATCTAACCTCCCAAACACCTGGACTTCTACTGTGCAATACTACTGACATTTCATACTCTCAGTCACCTTAACTACCTCACTAATATCCATGATGTGCAATATAATTGTGTAATACTTGTATTTTTCACTTTCATTATTATCTATATTGCGTTACATTTTTTATATTTTTAGTGTGTGTTTAATGTGTGTTTTCTTAAGGCGTGTTTTTGCACTGGAAAAAGGAGTGGCTCTTAATTTCATTGTACTGCGTATAATGACAATAAAGGCATTCTGATTCTGATTTATTAGGTTTTTTTATTGTCTTACCTTTGTTGTTTGACTGATTTGTAAAATCCTTTAGTTGGTTGTTTTACGTGCTTTAGAAAGAAAACTGAGATTGATGTGCACATTTCAGTGATGGATAGAACATGTGATGTGATTTAGTTGCATAGATAGAATGACAATTAATCCCATTTAGGCCTTTTATTGTGAATAAATCAATAGAGACCAGAACAGCGAGCCCTGCAGCAGTTGGTCAGGCACAGTCAGTTTGGGATGATAAAACAAAAAAGGAACAAAATGTAGACAGACTAAATCTGTACTGCCTAACAACTCTCCAGTAACATTCTATTGTTCATATGGAAGGAATATATGTGCACAGAAAAAAAAAGGAAGTGATGTAAATAGGGGTGCTCACATGAGGACTATGCAGCAAAAGGCTTGTGTGTGTGTGTGTGTGTGTCACCTCTCTTTCTATGTTGTTCCTGCCCTGTGATTTAATGTAGGAGAAGCAGAGGTCTGTCAGGCTGTTGTTGCGGCAGCAGTCCATCGTTCCATCTAGACGCTTAAAAGCTACCAGAGGAGAGGAAAAAACTGTTATATGGAACGAAGAAGCAGACTGAAACTCAGGAAACACACCACATGACTCTTAACTGGCACAATAATGATAATAATAGTCCATCACACCTTGCTCTTCCCATTTATCACCAGCTTCACTCTGTCTAATAAACTGCAACAATACAAACATCGTAGAGTATAATGTCCCGCTGAGAAACTCAGAAAGCAAAAATCAGTACCATTAAAATGAACTTAAAAAATAAATGACTGCTAGAGTTAAACAGGTGATTCTGGTAAAAAGGAAACAGGCTGCAGCAAACACTTGCTGGTATTTTTAATGAATTTGGTGAGTTTGAACAAAAAGCTTCGGTGATGCATTCAGGGACAAGAAAACATCACGTGTCAGGCCAAATGCAAAAAAGGGGGAATTTATTTGGGAAAAAAATGCAACGATAATTGAAAAGTTATGATTTTTTTTTTTATTTAACATTGCTTTCTGTTACTAATTGAAGTAGGACATGTGAGACATAGTAAATACTAAAAAAAAGCTGCAGGAGCTCTGCTGATGCTACTCTTTAGGCTTGACCCCATTTCTTTTTCAAGAAAACACTGTGGTGAAATTAAATATTACCAACAATTAGATGCAATGATTTTGTTCAAAGATGTGACATCAGCTGATTCTTTAGTCAATAATACTTTATTATTTGTTTATTTTGATCCTGATTTCCTCACGTCGTCCATGAGCCCAGCTGGGCTGAAGGCTGGCAGCTGGGACACAGTATCCTGTCTGTGGTGTGTGAGAGAGGTGAGACAGGCAGCTTATCCAGTCCTCGACTCCCCTCACAGGACAGTCCTCCAGCCCCGTCACAATGTCCCCGACTGACAGACCCCTGGGTCCGTCAGCTGCAGAACTCTGGACCAAAATCAAACAAACAAACAAAACACTTGGGTCCAAATGGACAAAAGGAAATACATAAATAAAACATAACACAAATTATTTGATAGAGTCAGGTCTGTAAGCCTCAGCTGAGGGACATTCTGGAGAGGAGCATGGCTCAATAAAGATTTTGTTTTGCAGATTGTTGTAAATAACTCATTATTTCGGGCACCTGAACATCACACAGCAAACACACAAGCTTATTCATTTTAGATTAAAATGCATATTTTAAAATGTAAATTAATATGTGCATGAAAGTGTACGTGGTATTGTGGTGGATTTATCAATGAGATTGAATGCTTAGCTTTAAAGAAACAGTTCAGTATTTTTAGGTGGGGTTATGGGTAGGCCTGTCGCGATAAACAATAAATCAATTAAGCGCATGAAAAATGAAAATGATCAAACTCCTTTTCATTCATCGGCTTTATCGTTTCTCCGTGTCTCTCTCTTTCTACTGAAGACACTGGATGACAAAACGCTGGTGTTCTTCACTGACCCCTCCCTTTCTCTTTTTTCTCTTTTCTTTAAAATCCATTTTAACGATCCAAAATCACGTTTTTGGATCGTTAAAACACCTAAGCTGAGAAGCTAAGTTACGAGCTAAGTTAACAGGCCGACGTCGGGGAAAAAAACCTGCGTCTTGTCAAAGCTCCAAAAATTTACGGTTGAAACCCGTGCCTTCATGTAAAAAGTTGGTTTTCACTGATAAAAGAAGCTGAGAACTTTTTTTACTGATATTTTCTTAAAAGCTTTGTGTGAAAAATGTTATGCTAAAGAGCTCAAACCACACCGAGCGTCCGCCATTTTGAGAACTGAAAAAAGGAAAGAGAGACAGCCCATGTCACGTCAAGGGTCCTCCCTCCCATTTTTCTTAAGAGACACGCTGCTCGCTCTCTCACTATCCATCCTTCGGTTCAAAAGGTTTTATACTGCCATCCAGTACCAACATATTAATCACTAATTATTGTCAAATTTCAAACAATATTATTGTTTATCGCAATAATTTCTGAGACAAAGCAAAAGCAAAAGTTGTTATTGTGACAGGCCTACTTATAATAATAATAATAATAACAATAATAATAATAATAATAATATGGGGCTATTCTTACCTACAGTAGACAGCAGTGCGAGCTGGAGACACTTTTATATGAATCAAGCTAACGGCTACTCAGATCAGAACCCAAGTAAGGATCAATTTATGCAATTGATAACAACTCAAAGGTCAAAAACTTTATAGCACTTCTGTTTTACATTTTATTTCAATGTTTTATAGTTTTTATATATTAAAAAAAAGTCCAAAAGTACAACAAGAGACTGGCTGTTTTAGTTTGAAAGCTTAATGCTTACAATGACCCCTGTAAAGAATTTGAATAGTACCGTACATTTTTTGTAGTTTTTGAGATGAGTGTCTTTTCTGGACTGGAATTGAAGAAATACAAGTAAACTTTGATGCTATTTGGGCAAAAATTTCAAGTGGGTAAGAGTTAAACTGTATAAGAACAGAGTTTTTATTTTCTCGTCCGAGGTGGCGCAGAGTGATGAATCCTGGCGAGTGGAGGGTGCAATGGCGGAGCCAGGGGGTGGCCATTGGTGACCTTGGTCACCTTAGATTAATCTTCAGCCACCCTCCAGTCATTTTAGGAAATTATACTTTTAAGCAATATAAAAACTAGAATGCATAAATTCCTAATAAAAGACGTTGCTGGTTTACATGTATACAGTATATGATGGTGGTCATCTTAAATTTTACCGTAGAAAACCAATTTTTGAAAAGAATCCTGTTCTTGCCTAGATGCAGCCCCACAGTAAAAAGGAATTTGACCTATTGCTTATTTTTCCAAGTTATCGAGCTCACAACACTGAAATACAGACGGAGGGCATTTCCAACCCCAACCACTCACACCACACACACTTTTTGCTCCACAATGGGGAACAATAAACTGCTGACTATAAAAATATGTGTGAGCCAACTATTAGACAGAGTCATCAGCTCATTCAACTTTACATAAGAGTTGCAGTAGTCCCTGGCTACTTGGTGATTCGACTTTCACGGACTCGCTCTTTCACGGTTTTTCAGAGTAAGATTGGACAGGACACACAACTGGCTGATTGATGGATGAGCCACAAGAGCTGCATGGATTTTTATTTAAAATAAACAATTTTAAATTATTTAGCACCTGTGTGCAGCCCACAGGTGCAGGGAGAAGCTCCCTCCTGCTGTGTCATGATCTCCACTCTCTGCAACTCCTACATTTCTGCTCCGCGCTGCAGCAGCTTTGTGAAGGGTTAACCCTTTGCTGTCCATATACACTTTTGGCTTGCAACTTAAAATTCAAAGTATGTGATATCGTAAAATCGCCATAATCGCAAAATATAAAAGTGTTAAAAGTTATTTTTTCTTATTTTAAAACGTCCATGTTCAGTTGTTAAAGTGTAACTGATCAAGAAGTACATTTCTGCTCCATCCTGCAGAGCTGTGTGAAGGGTTAACCCTTTGATGTCCTACCGCGCTTCTCTTCTCTACAATTTTGGATTTTTTATTAAAAATATTACAGTATTTAAATTTAAATTGTTTATTTAAACAGAAGGAGGGAGATTGGGAGTGAAACATTGGTTACATACGGTAACTCCAGATTCTATGAGTATAGGCGTAGCCCTTTAAGGCTATCGCTAGTGGGTTTATCCCTTTGCGCACAGCGCAGCACTGAAAACTTTAGTCCACGCCCACCTGCTGTGTGGGCCTCACCCCCGGTCCATATAAATTACGGTGAGACCGGGTAGTCGGCTCTCAAATAGCTTTTTTCTTCAGCCATTAAGGAACTAGTGAGGCCCAGAGCTTAAAAGGCTGCGCCTATACTCATAGAATCTGGGGTTACAGTACGTAACCAACGTTCTATTTCGTATAGGCTTTGCACTTTAAGGCCATCGTTAGTGGGTTAAAGATGAAGCAGGATGTAGTCTATGCCTCACTGGGTCCATTCAGACACAATATGAAGCGCCCACTTGCACCAAAAAACAATTCATCACTCAGTCTTCTGTGTGCGTAATTACGCGTTCCATGCACAGGAGCGCCCCGGAAAGAAAAGATCTCCGATGGGGAAAAAGGGACGGCTGAAACTCAGTCCTGCTGCTGAGAATGGAAAAAACAGAGGTTACGAATTGTAACCATGTAACGATGAATAGAGCAGGTCAACAGCTCTTCAATATAAACTGATTAACAACAAAATTAACTGATTAGTAACCAAATGAACTGATTGGTAACAACAGTCATGAACTGATTAGTAACAATAAAAACAGCAGTCATGAACTTGTGACTGATAATAAATGTCTCACACTGTAATTGCATGTAGTCAGATGTGAGTTTAAAACGAAATACCACGAAACAAGTAAAAATCATTCTGTTACAACACTAAGAACTGAATGAGTCATGGAGAAGGCAGAGACATTGCGTAGATAGAAATGAATAAATGAACAAGGCGATGACCAAGCGGCCGCCGTACAAATGTCCTCCACTGTCATCCCTCCATGCAAAGCTGTAGAGGATGAAATCCCTCTGGTGGAATGAGCTCTGAGATTCTCTGGAGGGTCCAGTCCTGATGCTCTGTAAGCTTCAGAAATAGCCTCACACAACCAGTGTGAGAGGCGCTGAGTGGATAAAGTGCAACTTGCAGAGGTGTCCCTATAATGCACAAACAGACGCTGATAATAACGCAGTGGGGCTGTGCGTGCTATATAACATGCAAGCGTGTGCATGGGACAGAGGTGGTGAGATGATGCTTCCTCCTATGAATTGTGAGGAGGAGGATAAAACCCCTCCAAGGTTATCATTCTCGATTTAAATGAGCTTGTGATGTTTTTTTGGTATGAATGCTGGGTCAGGTCTCAGTGCAGCTGAGCTGCCATCAGCTTGAATCCTGAGGCATGACGGGGCAGCAGAGAGTGCAGATAAATCACTCATTCTCTTTGCTGATGTCAAAGCCAGCAGCAGAGCTGTTTTAAGTGACAGGAATTTAAGTGAAACCTGATCTAAAGGCTCAAAAAGGAGCTTTGATCAGAGCGCGCAGAACCATCGTTAGGTCCCACTGTGGAGCTACTGGGCGTGACACCGGTCTGTGTCTCCGGACACCTTTCAGGAAACGCTTCATCAATGGGTGATTAAAAACTGTTCTGTCACCAAAGCCCTCGTGACAGGAAGAAATAGCTGCAGCATAAGTCTTAATTGTGCTGAACGCTAGATTTCTGTCCATCAGTTGCTGCAGAAAGGACAACATGCCACCTAGTGGACATGAAATGGCCTCTACACCTTTCTTCCTGCACCAGCGCTGAAAAGCTGTCCACTTTGATATAAACGCATAAAGGAGCATTTTTGGCCACGGGCTGTGAGCGAAGGCGTCCACTCCTAATGGCGGGTCGTCTCGTGGGCTCAGTGAGAACCATAATTGACACTGGACGTTCTCCCGTGTGACGGACAGATCCACTGCTGCTCAGCTGAACCTGTTCCAAATCCGAGAAATCAGCTTGGGATGAAGGCTCCAGTCTCTGTGGCGGGGACCGCCCCTCGACAAGATATCCGCTCCCCTGTTCAAGACGCTGGGAATGTACACTGCTCTGATGGAGAGCAGGTTTTAGTGTGCCCAACACAACAGCTGTTTCGCGATGCGTAACAGTTAGGCTGAGCGTACGCCTCCCTGACGGTTTATGTAAGCTGCCATCACTTTGTTGTCTGTGTGGGTCAGAACATGCTGATCCCGCAGCGGGGGGCAAAATGCTGAGTCACGTTTCAGACCGTGAAAACATTCTAGCACATTTAGGTGAAGAGACATGTGGTCCAGCCACTGTGCTCCCACTGCCTGGGACAGACACATTCCTCCCAGCTTGACAGGTACACGTCTGTGAAAACTGAGACGTGTGACATAGGCCTGCTGATGGGAACTCCCTCTGACAGAATGAGGGGGTTTCCCCAGTGATTCATATCG